TAATCGGCGGGCACACATAGAAAATAATAATAATAATAATAATAATAATAATAATAATAATAATAATAATAATAATAATAATAATAATAATAATAATAATAATAATAATAATAATAATAATAATAATAATAATAATAATAATAATAATAATAATAATAATAATAATAATAATAATAATAATAATAATAATAATAATAATAATAATAATAATAATAATAATAATAATAATAATAATAATAATAATAATAATAATAATAATAATAATAATAATAATAATAATAATAATAATAATAATAATAATAATAATAATAATAATAATAATAATAATAATAATAATAATAATAATAATAATAATAATAATAATAATAATAATAATAATAATAATAATAATAATAATAATAATAATAATAATAATAATAATAATAATAATAATAATAATAATAATAATAATAATAATAATAATAATAATAATAATAATAATAATAATAAAAATACTGATCGAATTGTGTAATCTCCTCCTTTTTCGAAGTCGGTTAAAAAATGTATTGCTGTCTATCTCAGCTCCGGCCAGTCCGGACTCGCATCTCACTCTGCGATCGAGGATGTTCTTTTCTTGGAGAGGGGACAGGAAATCCCCTCCATAGTGCACAACCGAGATCCTGACGCGCAGTAGGCTGACCTACAGGTCTACCTAACCTACAACTCCAATTGGTCAAAAAAGAAAAATGGCCATCTAGACTCGCACGTATTTTCGGCAGTCAAAATTATTTGCTCGAGCAATCACGTTAAACAATCGAGTTAAAGAACAAAAGTGACATTTTTCGTAATAACGAAGTCCGTTACTAAACCGCACAATTTTTCATGGAAAAAAGAAAAGAAAAACAAACTTTATTACGTGATATACTGTAAACTGTAATGAGATTTCCGACTACTTCTTTTAAATGTTTAATTACCTACTAAACAGAAAGTTATTCACATTTTTTCTGTCTTCTTTATTCTTTTCTCGAAAGACCCTACATCACTTTTGCAACGCAAGATCCGAAGGCAGTGAAGATATCGAAAAGATCTTACCTGGGTGTTGGTTACTTTCCCAGGACACATCAGAATAGTTATTGTCATCACCAAGAAATTGTTACTTATCGAATGATCTAATACGTGTACTGTTGTCGAAATTACGGATGCCCCGTGGTCTGTTCTAGAATCTCGGCGAAGGAGCGAGAGATTAGTTCCTTTTAGTCCTCCTAGCATTCCGATGACGCATCTTTAATCTGCGTAGCAGCGGCAGCGTTTTCGGCGTTACACCATTCCTTCAGTGTTTGTGCAGACGTCAAACAGCTGCAGTAAATACCCAAATATTAACAGGGCGACAGATATCGTGTTATCGAATTATATCATATGTTTATAAAATGTTTGTATAAATTCTTCCAATTTATTATATTTACAATATAATACTTATGCACGGGGAACGTGTAAGTTATTGCAAAATGAACGTATAATTTCGTTGCAAAGTATATTTTAATAATTTCTGCTTGATAAATGCCTTCAAAAATAAATTTATTTATAATAATCTATTTTGTTTGTTGTTGAATGAACTATGTACTGGTTTTATTTTGATCAATTTCAAGGGGTAGTAAGTAAAACTACCTAAAACACAATTAAATAAATAATAATTAAAGTTTTACAACTTTATTTTATTTCATTTTCATTTATATCTGTTGTTTTGAAAGTTGTGAACATTGTTGTTTGTATCGTTTCATTAGCGAAAAGTTTCTATTTTTTTCATGAATATTTCCATGAATAAACAGAACGGGTTACTAAGTTACGCGTTTATCAAGTAAAAATTATTCAAAGTCATGTAATAGAGCACGTATTTATTTTGCAATGGGCTGTATGCTTGTGAGACATAAATATTATAATACCAAATTCCTTCTTCCTTTGTCGTAATACTGATTTTTCATTTGCCCCAATTTAGAAAGATCATACTTTTCTTAGTTGTGGAAAAGGAAGTTAAAATGAAATAAAGGTCTAATTCCTCTATACACGTGCTATTAATTCGTGGGAAAAGGAACGATGATTAATACTATTACTGTAACCTCTTAAAATTATGTAGAGTGTCACACGTAATATTATGGACTAAGCAGTTCGGTAAAAATTCTCCTGCGTTGTCATCTTACCAAGGTTAAACGGTCAACCGTAAACAAAGATGGCTAGCAATTCTTCCTTAAAAAAAGACATTTAAGAAATACCGTAAAAATCTTTTAGCCTAGGGAAACTGAAGTACAATTAAAGAGAAAATTGCATTATTTTGAACGAGTGATCACCAGATATGTACATCTACAAAGCACAACTAGTTCTAACCCTTGCCGTAAAACTCTTTAATACTGGACAAAAAACCCTTAAAACTTTAAAAAAGCTAACGATAAAGTTGCTATAAAGTATTGAAAAAAGCACGCACGCGTGCTATCACTTTGACCGGGAGTGTATAAAAGTGTATACTTATATATATATCTCGAGTGCTCACGTATCCTTAGTAATAGAAGATGTATATTTTTTAGGCATAACCAGCAACAGCATGACACAATTAGTTAGCGAAGGTGCTACACCACTGCTGGGCACTCACGAAGCATTATTGGCAGAAATTAAACGCCTTCGAGAACGTTTAATTTGTCTAGAGTCTGAAAACGCGGCAATGAGTGCTAAATTGAATCAACAACAATGGGAAGTAGAAAACCGATTAGCTGAAATTGAGATGCACATCTGCGGAGCTAGTTCGACTTCGAGTCTGGAAGACAACAACGAGAGAAATCGGGAAAGTATCATTTAACAAGAAACAATGCCGCGAGAGCGCGGCAAAACTACAATGCGGCGAATACGACACTATCTTGTCGATGGTACCGACATTAGGTAAGTTCCCAAATTGAATACCACTTTACCATTTATTGTGAAAATACATATTTTTAACATATTTAACACATATGGTTAATAACTGTACATGGATATACAGAATGTTACATTTAAACTAGAATCGTTCAATATCTCACGAGTAACTAAAGCGATCAACAAAATATTCGTACAAAAGTTGTATGATACAAAAATGAAGCGTTTAGATCTTATTGTATATCTTTTGAACACTTTACATAAAAAAGTATAAGAGGATAATATTATCAAAATAAATGGATTTTTAATTGTTTTAATTAATAAATAATATATCTCGTACCAAAATTTGAAAATTTTTACGAACCAATCTTTTTAATTCTCGTGCATTGTTCTACCTTATAGTTAAGCATGCCCGCATTACTCAGTTTGTTAATATTACAAATACTATTACTTAGCATTATTAGTAACTCAAGTTAGCTCAACATGTACATATACTCCGCATGCCTGCTTCTCCAGAATATTTTTACGTACATTTACTTAACCCTTTCGTTACGGAGCGCTCGTGACAAAATGTGATCGCTGTGGGCGGAGCGCATTAGTGAGTAGTTGACACTAATAAATTATTATTATTATTTTCATGATAGTAAATTGTTTTAGGCATGCAGCATTGCCAGATACTCGATTAAGGGGTAACACCACTCTAGAAATCAGAGAAAAAGGTGATTTTCGGGAATTTTTAAAGTACAAATCGTACAAGTTGTAAGGTCAGAATAAAAAAGGCTTTATTAGATATGTTTTGAAGATGGTTTGTAAATTTTTATAAACAATTTGCACTAAAAATGGCGGCTGTAAGTGCTAGCAAGCAACAACACTATTTCTTTGAAAGGGCTTCATGGCCGGACTGTTTTTTCATTAACGCATGGTCCTAAGTCAAAAAAACCAAAAATTTCTCATATTATATACCAAAATCTATGGAACATCGTACGGAAATTAAAAAATATTAATAATTGTTAATTTAGTGTAGATATGAACAAAAAGTTTCGAAAAACGGCAGAAAATTTAGCATTAAATTGTCAATAAAAAGATAAGTAGTTAATTAATCAAAAAATCCGTACGATGTTCACTACGTTATATTATTTTGCCATTACCTCTCCACGAAATTTCAAGTCGATTAGTTAAAAACTTTTCGAGTTATTTGTCCGGCCAGTTCAAATAAAGTGATTTCGATATTTTTGAAGCTTCATTCAAAGATCGTTCTGAAAACTCTATGCATCGGGTGTCAGTTTGTAGACAAAAATTGTAACAATTTTCTCCGACAGACATATCCAAGGCTTTCATTAGTTCCATTATAGTGAATAGTGCATCTTTGAATATGCACACAGATATTTTTTCGACGAATTCATGGTGTCGACGGATGGCTAAACCATAATAAATACTCAACTCATCCATGAGTTTTCCTCACAAATTTCCCTTTCCTTCAAGACCCTTTGTCTATTTTTTCAAATTGGGGGTCATCGTTTATTAACCTAGCTGAATCAGGCCTTTTGCCTTTATCCAGGTACCGTTCTCAACGTTGATTATTGTGCGCGTATCCGCAAGTTACGCAGAGCCAACCACAGAGTGGTTGCTGTCCACTTAAAAAAATTCATGTTTCCGACCTGCCCCTCACTTAAAACATTTTTCTCATATTCTACATATAATAAAGCATCAAGTATATGTATATGGTATGAACATATAAGTACGCTCTTCGTACCCGAGCGCACATTTTTCCAGAGCGTATATGATATATACGCTCTTCGTATATGAATGGTCATTCTTCGAGGGCGTATATGTACGCCCGTCGGAGCCAAAGGATTAAGGTACTCCGGAAGTTGTTCAACTTGTGCTATCATTTTAAATGAATTCAACTCTAAATAATGCATAACAGGTTAACGTTGTACTCTAATGCTTAAAAATGTACTGTTGTTATTTCAATAATCTAAATCTTCTTCGCACAAATATTGAAAGCGACGAAAGGTGACTAAACCTAATTTTTATTTTTTAATCATTAATCACGGAAAATAGAAATATGTTAAGGTTAAGTTAGATTAGATTAGAATATTTTTCAAAATAATAATAAATATGAACCAATTTTAATTTATCGATTTTAACCTTTAACGGTGACACCGCAGAAGAATGACATACCTCATACACTAGGGCGTTTAAGATCCTAACTACTAAAAATGTTTCCTACAAAGAAACAACAAGTTTCTTACTTGTTTCTTTAGTAGTAGCGTTAGGAGTAGCGTTACAGGTAACACCCTGTAGATCTCGCAACTAGATTTGACAGTATACCTCGAGCGGTTAAGATACACCGACAGGTGGGTTTTTTGGATGATTATAATCAATTGAGGCGGTATTTAAATATAAGTATGAACAATTTAATATATTTTCCCAAATCCGGGTTTTACACGTATTTGAGTGTACTTATCAGTTAAGGTCGACTCTACTTTGCTAGAGCTTAGGTATTATTTTAACTTGAATTTAATGAATTTTATAAGTTTTAACTCCGACAAAGCCAGAATATGGTCTTTCTCAGTCTTAACGAAAAACGAGTAAACGAGGACCCAAGAGAGAATCAGCAAAAATTCCTAACAGCAGACTTTCGTACCGTATGGTTTAATTTGTTTCGACTGCGACTCTAACCCGCTCTTAATTAAAAAATTCCTCTAAACTTGACGAAATGACTCTAATAGAACTCGTGCAGAGGTTCTGCGTTAGTTTCCATTCAAGAATTAACTGGGCCCTCGTACAGAGCTTCCACGTTAATCATCGTTCAAGAAGTTACTGGGTCCGACACGTTCTTTTCACAACCCTTTTTATACTCAAAAAATGGGCGGAAAAAAGAGTGGTAGTGAAAACGGCGCGAACGGATAAAGGAAACCCCGATCGCTTAGAAAACTAAACGAGACTAAACTTCTTCTTTGACTATGTTCGAACAACCAACTCCAAAATAGGAAACAACGCGGAGGAAACACGCGTTATTAGAATTCAAACATACATACACACAGATACTCGCACACAAACACGCACAAAATATGGCTCTTTTCAGAGCCATATGATGTGCAAAATCCGTCCAGCAACCTCTTCGAGGTACACATAGGGTAATGGTAACGCCAGCGGTATATGCCATAAATGCAAGGATTTCTTTAAAGTACTGTATCTTTGCGAAAAAAAATGGAAGCGGTTTTTCACATACTGGAAATTAAAGATAAATGTTTGTACTTTATACTCTTGTAAACAGCATCACCAAAAAAAAAAAATGTGGCAAATCCATGCATTTCGTCAAACTTTGTAATTTTCAATACAGCAAACATGACCTCGCATTTACGGTTTTATTGTGGTAGGGATGCATCAAATCTAAAATCGAACTACAGTATCTTAAAGTAGAGATCTCAAGCTTTAATTTAAAGAAAAGAACATAAATTTACGATTATTTTTCACTGAGTTATCATCAGTCAAATTTGTGCAATTTTTGGCTAAAATTTTTCTATGCCATATTTCTTTTGAGCAGTGTATCTTCAAGATTGGAAATTTGTAATTTTTGAAATATTAAGAAATTTATTTATTAAAGAACTTTATTTATTAAGATATTGAGATTTGGAATGTTAAAAAAAAAAATTTTTCTGATACATATCCAGCATATGAAAATTTAGAATTTAAAGTAACCGTTCACTTGAGATTTTAAAATAGGAAAGTATTAAGATTTATTTACTATCACTTTTTAACAAAAATTAGTAAACGATATGTAGTTGTGTACAATTTTGGCTATGACTCATTGTAACATAAACGTAATCTAGCTTTGAATTAAGGGGTAACACCACTCTATGATTTTCAAAAAGACGATTTTTTTTAGCTGAAACGATACTTTAGGGTCTTAAGAACGAAATGCCGTTTGATTTGTAGTAGAAAACAAATTTTAAATGGTTCAATTATCAATTTTGCCGCAACGCTTCAGAGCGCGCACTGAGTACTCACGCGGTATGCTGCAATTCATCGCTTTCATATTATTGTTATCATTTAAAATAATAAGTTTACTTGTTACCTACAAAACAAACAGAAGCATCCAGAAAGCTGGAGAAGGTGGCAAACACTGATCTGGATAGCCAAATGTATGGTACAGGCATTGCAGATTAGCGGTGATCTGGATAGCCAAATGATCTGGATAGCCAAATGTATGGTACAGGCATTGCAGATTAGCGGTGAATAGAGAATTTGAGGATTAAAATGTTCATAAAACTTCAAACGCGTTTTTCTCGAAACCAGTTTCTTCATACTGGGAGGACAGATTTCTTGGTGACTATTGCATGAATCGAAATGAAATTTTTACAGTAGCTACACAACAATATTATCCTTGGAAGTACGTAGTCGTTTTTTGATTGAATGTAAACTTTTTTTTTATACTAATTTAGTGCTCATTTTTCATGCAAAAAGTCGATTCATTCCTTAAAAAACGCATAACTTCCACAAAAATTGATTAATCAAAAAACCTCTACGTACTTCCAAAGCCAATTGTATATGATTATAAATTCTTTTGATTTTTTATTCCACGACTCATACATAACGAGAAATCCGTCCTCCCGTAGCGGTGTTTTTCCAAAATGTGTTTCCGACGATGGGCTCTGTCGCCACCATTTTGTACGAAAATGACAATAAAAAAATATTTTTTTGTAGTTCAATATGTGTTATATAAACCTTCTGAAAAGAAATTCTTTTCCGTTTGTTGTTCTTCCAAAATAAATTGTCAAAGTTAGGCCTCTTTTTCAGGCTCTAGAGTGGTGTTACCCCTTAACGTAATTCGTTACATTACATTAGACACTTTTTAAATGAAACCTAAGGAAGATAGAACTGTTTATTAGCCTTTATTGAAAAAGAAGAGCATTTTAAGAGCTTGCAATATAACAAAACTCTATACATAAATGGAACAGAAATTTCGTTGATCTAATGAATCTAATGTTTATAATGATCTTATTACACCAAAAAACATATGTATATGTTCATCATAATTATGCTATTTTATAAAAATAATGTTTAAATTAAATAATTCTTTAAAATTCTAATATATTCAATTTGGTAAACTGTATTTCTTAATAATTTTTTAATAAACAAAGATTAGTCATTAAATTATGAATAAAAGCTAGTCAGTAGATTGGCTTATATAATATAAGTAAGATTACTTGAGCAAAGTATCTTATCCCGTACATTTACATTTACCCACATAAAAATTTGTATGGTATAATCTAAAAAATTAACTTGATATCGAAATTCTCTGTAGTACTCCACTCACCACACAACTTTTGTACGAACTTTTGTTTGGTCGCTACAACTCTATATAAAAATCTTTGTTTGAGTGGGGAAACCAGTGTAGTTGTGCTGAAACAATAATTTTTGAAGCATTTTTTCTTTAACAATTAAATTTTTAATTTTTAAATATTCAAATATTGTTAGTGCTACAAGAAAGTATATGATTTGAACTACTTTTTAGAGCAGTCAGGTTAAAAACATTAATATTTTTATCCACAGTAGCGATTGGTGTGAGCTGCATTAAATAAATTTTTGTAAAACGGGCGGATAAGAGATCAACGGCAGTTCTGGAACAAAAAAAGACAAGTATTTTTACCAAGTCTAAAATAATAGATTCAGTTAAACGTACGGATTTTGCAAAATAGTAATTTATTACGAGATTTTTTAAATAAAAAATTACAAAAGTTGATCAAAAATCAACTTTGTTTTTAAGATTACAAAGAAAGAAAAAATTATTCAATCGAAAATTCCATACGTGCAACTGAAAATGATCTAATTAATAACCCTAAACAAAAATTAAAAATGACAATTGTAAATTAACTACACCTGTGTCCAATTTAAAAAATCCTATTTTGTCATAGACTTGTGATGTCATAGATTTGTAATTTATATAAAAGCATTTAAATTTTAACTTACAATTTCAGCACTATAAAGCATGACTTGCAAATTGTTATTACTGTTCTGCTATTTACTTGAATCATGTCTTCGATAAAGTATAGCTCAATCAATAATCTAATGTTTTCTTCATTAAATTGGATTGCTACTTAATAATTCGCCAGTTCAACAACTTTAGCTTCATCCAAAATGCTTTCAAAAACATATTTTCAAACCAACCCGTAACTATTAATTGTATTGTATATTATGTATTATAAGGTGTTATTATTATTTTGAGCGAAACCACCCAAATACCATTCAAAAATATTTCTTAACCCAGATTTTCATAAATCGCTGTGATAACAGAAAATATATCATCCCATAATGCTGGTTTGTACTTATAATCACTAAACTTCCATTAACTTTACTTTCTGTCACCAGCACTATGACTCCCCAATTTCCAGGCAATAATAATGTTATACACATATGCTATATATGTATGTTAACTATCTGTTGTCTAGAATTGTAAATACTATTATAAATGATATTTTATAATATTTTTATATTATAAATAACTATAAATATATATTAACTATTTTACCTTTTAGTTTTTGTTCTTCAAATACATTAATATTTTTTTACGTTAATCGAACTGTCCGTAAGGCTAATTGTACATGTACTTACATAGTTATTTCAAAAGTTTACAACAAATTCCTGAATATCAATTAGGGAAGAATGTTGTTGTACAAAAAAGATATGCAACTTCGAGTGTGACTTGCACCAATGCTCCTGTAACTGCCTCATTGTTTCAAATATCATTTAAATTCCTAGCACAAGTTTTCTGACCCAAAATGTTAAAAAATGTAAATAAAAATGTTTAACTTTTCTAAGATTTTATACTGGTTTCATCCTCCTTGAATGTAACACTGTATTTTAATGAAATTTCTTCATAAATGAAATGAAATTTTCTTATAGGTATGATGCAGATGATCAGGAAGAATTTGAAGAAACTAAGATGTCTGGTAGATCCAGCGATACAAAATCAATTGGTAGCCTCAGTCAACATTTCTTTGAAAGTGACGAAGATGAGAAATATTATGGCACTTGTAATGGTTATGTTTCTCAGCCCGGCAGCAAGTCAAATTTGTTGCTGTGCAGCGAGTGTGATCAAAAAACTCGTACTTGCACTTACAGACCACAAACACCTGGTTCTTGCTGTAGTAAATATATTGAAGAACGTATTGAAGACCGGCAACAAGGAACTGCTCGCATTTATAAAAGTCCAGTTCGTGTATCTTCTCCATGGTCCCTACACCATGATCAAGATTGTAGTGGTCAGTCTTCTTCGCCTAGATCATTGTGTCAAGATTATCAGGTACAAAGAAGCTGGTCAAAAAAATATGAACTTGAACATGACAAAACAAACTCTGAAGACAAAGATTTAGAACAGGATAACAATAGTCCTCCCTGTGAGCTTTGTCATGGTAATAGTCATGTTGTTCAATGTGAACACTGTGACTTTTCTAGCGATGGTGACCTAATATGTTTTCAATGTCAAAGTGAGGAAGGATCATCAAACGGTCAGAATTGTCCTCATTGCGAGAAAAATAAAAGAATATTGTCAAATAGGTTAGGATTACAAAGGGGGGCAACATCAAATAATGAAGGGAAATACCCAGTAGATGCTGTGGTAAAAATTCAAGTTAATGATCATATGATTTCTGTAGACTCAGATGAGACATCTGAAAGCGAATTATCTAATAATCATCATCATCAGAGAAGTACAATGGAACGATTAGATACTATTGTTGAGGCAAAGGGAGATACTGCCAGTGAAAATGATGAGGAAAACGGAGGTACAAAATTAAATGGAACTAGCAGTGCAAGATATCTCAATTATATGATCGTATTGTTTCTGTAAATAAACATGGTTAAAGTAATTGTGGTTGAGCTACGGGTCATGTTGGTATATGGAGAATATTGTTTTGTTGAAATTAGTAATTAAAGAAACTATTAACATAAGCATCGTTATAATGCTTTACATTTTAAAAATCTTTGAAAAATTTCATAATAGGTATATGTATTTATATTGTACTGTTATTCATTGTTATATTAGTACACTATTTATGCTGGTACTGCCAGTAATGTACTATTATAACATTTTATATTGTATAAAATTATAACACTTTGGTAATATTATGCTACATTAAATTTAAACTAAATTGATATAATACAAAATATAATATTTATCAGTGATAGTTCACTATTATGAAATTTCGTAGAAAGCAACTAGGAACTTCAAATAAAAATAATAATTGTGTTAATGTCCTCTACTATATTGTAGCTAATATATTATAGCTAACTTACATAAAATTTTATAGCGAGGACAATTTTTTTCTAGCGAAACTTTTTTATTATTATATTTTACATTTTATAATTTTTCAGTCATGCCTAGATCAGCATTCTTTTTTTTTGTGTAGTAAAAACAAAGTAATATTTAAATATTTTATAATTATAATAATTACTGCATTTAGTGAAGAAACTTAGTAAAAATATCTTTAAAATAAATAGAAACTGAGGAAGTATTGGACTGAAAAAAATAAACACTTAATGCTCTCTTTTACTTAATCTATTTATAAAAATCACTTTACTAAATTTATAACAAAATCTTTATAGATCGACTTATTAGTACGCAACAACGATAATCTCCATTTAAGAGGAAACATTTTCAAAAGTGCTACTTTACTATGCGAAAAAAACCATCGATTTTAACGTGTCCTCAACTTTTTAAAATGTTTCGTACTTCGTAGGTTGATCGACATCGAAATCTGTTGCCGTATGGTATTTTCGGCGCCGTGGCTCAACTCGCATGTAAATAAACTGCCAAAAACCTTCATCCATATATCCGTAGAATTGTATAGGTTAATAGATAACTCTATTTGAAATGCTATATGAGAGAGTGAGAGAAAAGGGAGACTGAAAGGAAGAATGAGGGTGAAGAGAAAGGGAAAAACAGTTACATGTAATAACATTCGACACGCGCAGTGTTGCTACAAGCTAAGATCCTTTAATGTAACGATCGTCACGATACCATGCGCCAGTTTTAGAATGGGTTTGTGCAAAAATCGTGTTCATTTTTTTATTTACCATTTTTTTTTCAATATTTCCTTTCAAATTAACAGTAAATAAGTTTTCAATTAAGTATATAAAATGTTTCTGCTACTATTAAAGCTAAGAAAAAAGATAATATGTAAACACATTCAAAACGTCCATCTGTTGATTTTAAAAGAATCTTTTAACAGTTATTTCGGCAATTTTTAACATTAATTAATTAACATTCAGTTATTGCTATTTTTGTAGGATTCAATTTGGCGTTAATCCGCTAATGTAAGTGATAAATTAAAATTTATAAATTTGGAAGTATGGAATTTGGAAAATTTGGTGAATTGAAACTTTAAAAACTTAATAATTTAGAAATTTGGACTTTGTGGAAATTGAGAATTGAGAGTTAAGAATTAAGAATTTAAAAAATTTTAAAAAGAAAAAAATATGCATCCTAAGAAAATATTTGCTTTAAAAGTTATCATAAAAAATATTAAAAATAGTTTCAGACGAACAAATGCATGTTAACAATATCTTTGTTAGAATTAAACCTATTGGCATGTAATGTGCACTTAATTTAAAATTAAAAACTAACTCGAAGAATAAATAAACAAACAACAAGACATAAATTAATATACATATTAATTCTTTATCTCGATGAAAATCAACGAGGATTATAGGAAAAATACCTAAACAAATGCAATAATGCATTACGATTTTGAAAATGGAAAAGTGAGTCTGAGTTTAAGAAATATAAAGTAATGAAACCAGAAGAGTTTGCACATCAATCAGTAAATTAATAAATCACATCAATTCATATTTGCATGCGATTATAGAACTTAAAATATCTAATCCTGTATTTTAAATATCTAATAACGTAAAATGATGTCACTTCTCTTATTGATTTCCTGTATGTTTCTTCAGAATGAAACTCTTTCGTCTTCAAAATCATTTCAAGATAATGATATGTAGATTGGTGAACTTGTTTTGGCAGCTAACTACAACATTGCGTTACAAGAATTAGTCATTAATATACAAAAAGTTACAATAATCTTGCAAAATTATTAAAATGATTTTCCCATTTTTTTCTTTTTCTTATCTTCATTAGTAGCGGAAATAATTTAAATACTCAATTTGAAATGAATACCCTGGGCATATACTCTATTAAAATACCAAAATAATTGAATTGTCAAAATCACTTTGCCTAATGTATTTACGTAATACATTCACAATCTTGATCTTTTGTATTTTCCATAATGAAGATTTGTACACAAACCCGTACTAACTCATGTTCGGGACCAACTAAAACTACCACCTACATCATTGCTTCTAACTTCTGCTTTCATTTTCGGTTATTACTTTCCATATAATTTCAAATATAAATGGGACATAATGTAGATCATATTTATTGATATGATTTACATGTAGACATTCTTACACCATCTTTTGTTCTCAATGGTTAACTGTGTTTCGCACTATTTAAAACAATTTATAATTTAGAAAGACAAAGGTTACCATAAAAGATACATGATACTGTCTTGTCCTTAACAAATAATTTATACGATAACACAAATTTTACCGTAATATTTTCATTTTTGATATATTTTCCATATCAAAATACCAGTAACCAAGTGCATAAAAACTACAGATATGGATGTATTTTGACCAGAACAAAACATTCATAACGAATCATATTATTAAATGTGAGAGTTCAATCTAAATGAACACCCTTAGAACTCCTTATCCTCGTACCAGGAAATTATTTTCCTCGAGGACCTTAACGGGACCGAAAATCTCTACATTCCAAAAAAAAAAAATCAAAACGGGATCATAATTACCTCCCCTTATTTCTTTGAGAACTATGTAACGAACACTATATCTTTGAATATTCAACATTCTGTTATAGTCGATCTTCAGTTGAAATTATTTTATAATGAAAGTTGCGAGAATCAGCTGAATGTTCTTACTTGATTATATTTACATTGTAAATACGTACACCTATCCCTTGATTTATATTGAAGATAGGTTTCTTAGAAAACCGTGTGAATCGAAATCTTGTAAATAGAAATAATCGTCAATTAAATCAATAAATATAGATCAAATCAAATCTGGTGTTTGATCTCATTTTAATCAGATAAATATCAAAACTCTATTGATAAAGATTTCATAAAAAAAAAACAAAATTATAAAAGTTCTATCTCTGTATTTGTAATGTCAAAATGTTCACTTTTATCAGTTTTTAATATGTTATTTTAAAACCATTTAAAAATAAAATCGTGTAAATAAAGCATCTCGTACGTCGAGGGATAGGTTTATTCACAAGTACAATTACTTTTATAACAGTACGCATATATAAAATGCAGTATGTGTAGTATACAAACAATGTCATAAAATAAGTTTATAATCGAAGACGCATTTAAAGTACCACTCTAAATATTTTTTAATTTACCAACTGAAATTTCCAATATCAAATACATTTCAAATACTGCATGCACAAAATTTTAATAATAAAATATAATTTTTCTTTTAATACTATAATACAGTGAAATCTGGATGGATCGTTTCTCGAATTGTTTTCATGCATGGTTGCTTGAGATCGATGTTATATTGTGATCTACTTGAGTGTTAGGGATACTTGGTTGTCATTACCAATATGTCATCACCGTTCAGTTTACAAAAAATGCTGTGCACAGTGCGTGCTGCGATATTTAGAAGTTGAAAAATTTGAAAATTTTTGATGTAACAATTTGAGAACTTAGAAATCTATAAACTTGAAAATTTGCAACTTCAAAAATTTAAAAATTTCGAGAATTAAAAATGTAGCAGTTTGAACTTGTGGCAGTTTGAAAATTTAGAAACGTGGCAATTTCGGAAGTAAAAAGTTTAAAGATTTAGAAAATGAAAAATTTGAGACTAAAAATTTAGAAATTCAGGAGATAGAAAGTTTAAAAATTTAAAGGGTATAGCCGGATAAGGTGGTCAAATGTGCCCTTGAGTCGAATTTGAGACCCATCTCGTCAGTCGGTAGCATATCCCAAAAAAACATCTTACACCAAGTTTCAACCCCCTATCTTATCCGTGGGGGTAGTAAAAGGGAAAAAACGAAATTCCGGTTTTTGGCCCTTTTTGCCTATTTAATTTCGTACAAAAATTCTGAAAAAATTCTAAAACATTGAGGTCCAGATAACGCATCTTACAGAATTTTTTCAGATTTTTTGATCGCAAACTGTAGTCGTGAAAAATCAAAAACCGAAAAAATGCGATTTTTTAGTGAAGATGTCGGAGCACTACTTTTATATTAATGTGGTAGTTAGGTATTAGTACAACTATTATTCTCTAATTTTTTTCAGATTTTTCGGTGAGGTGCGCCGTAGTTAAAAAAATCAAAAACCGATTTTTTCGCGCGAAAAACTAACTTCTGCTTTGAATTTTTATGCCAGTTTCCCATAAAAGATACATTAAGTAATTTTAAGAGGATTCACGTTCACACAATTGATCTATGAATTACAACAATGCAATTAACTTAATTAATTAGTTTTATGGTACGTTCTTTATATACTTAAATGTTTGAAGGTGTTTCAACAACATCGGTGGCGCAGCAATTATGGCGTCTGACTCGTAAACTGCTGCATAATTTTTTTGACGCGGGTTCGATCCCACCCGAACTTATATTTTTTTTTCTTTTTTTTTTTTCTTTAAATTGTTAATTTTATTAATTCTAATTATAGAACAATGGATATTACTTATTTAAAAACATTTCTAACGCACTTTAGAAATATTTCAAGGTTCCTTTTTTTTTTTTTACTTGAAAAACTTTGACAACTTTAAATTCATATAAAAATAATTATGGAATATTTTGACTATATATCTTAATTGTGCTACAAGTTTATAAATTTTCAGTTGAGTGAATATATCAGTGCAATTTTTAAATACTTCATTTCTGGTAACTAAGTAATAGAATTATGTCTATTACTTGTTGTTATAAGCATTTTGTTAATCTTGAATAGTTGAAGATTAGGTTTTTTCCTACTCAGGTATCTGACCATTGTACGTCGGGATGTTGTAAACTTGATGTTTGAAAAATGGTTAATTCAATTCATCCTTGAAATAATCACGATGTACAATATTAAGCAAAATATGTCAAACAGAGCAAGTGATACCTGTTACATATGAAGACAGCAATGACGACGGATACATTTGACATAGTACAGTGTTCATTCCATATAAGCAAAAATGTCCTTTCCGATATAAGCACAAATGTTATCCCCACCACTGGGGGGAAGACCCCTCGAGACGCCCGAGGTTCGCTCGCCGGGAAATGTAACGTGACCCGGGTATTAGTGTATCCGTGAGACAATACCAATGCAAATATAAAACTTTTTTATTTTTGACTTTTTCGAAATCCAACTTTTACCAATAGATTCTTTACATTTTTCTGATTAAAATGAGACCAAACACGACATAATTTGGGCTATATTTACTGGTTTAATTGACGATGAAAGTTTTTCACGTCGAAGAGGATAGCGAGTCAAAAAGAAAGAGACACTACACTTCCACATCTAGGAGTCTCTGCACAATTTATCTAATTCAGTAAATTGCTTTAGTAATGATAAATAGAGATTTCACTGTTATTCAAATACTGAAATTAAATGAGTATTGCATTTTAATTTGGTCTAAATTAAGCCAAAATCCAACAATTTGTATACAATATAAATTCATTTATTTTCTATAAATATGTCATTATTTGTATTACAATTGTAAAATATTAAAAGAAGTAAGCAAGACAATGTCTATAATCTAATGGGAAAAGCTCATCTGGGTTCTTCAACTGTTTGGATATAAGTAATCTAAAATTACAAAATACTGTATTTCTTTGGGCGTATACATACATATATTGTAATTGAAATGTACCATATAAGTTGTTGAAAATCATAGAAATTGTACAAATGAACAGGAGCAAATTTTTTGTTTCTTGCTTCAAAAGTTCACAGTTAAAAATTTGTTATGGACAAGTAAATAAGAATACTTAAAATATTATATGCTACAGTTTAAGTACTACATCTATTAAAAAAAAATTCATTTTTTATTTTAGATCATCTATACTTGAGTAATCTGGTCATTCATGGACCAAAAAGAACCTCAGTCAATGCTCGAACACTATTTTACTGTAATGCTAATTAAAACGAATACATATTAGGCTATACTGACCGTACTGTTTACTCCTTTTTAAATAATATTTTATGAACGTGTAAAACTATGTTTGAATATTATATGTGTAACGAAATGAAATGGTTCTTAAAAGTAGTTCCGTGGAAACAATTTATTGAATTTAATCTTCATTTAATTTTTACTTTATATACTTATTATCTTTAAAATACTTATATGCTAAATAAAATTAAAAATGTATACAACATACATAACTTTTTTCATCATTAGTAATATTTCATTCTTAATGCCTTCTTTACAAACAATAAAATAATTAGTACAACATTCAGAAACTCGCAACTTTGAGTATTGTTTTATAAAAATCATTTTAAACAGACTTACATAACTTATTATTCACGAGCAATATACTTTTTTCAGAATTCTCCCTTACTATGAAGCTCATGTTGACTCGTTCAAATGTTGGTCGAAAGAGACTCCTTTATGACTCCAGCAATAGCCTTTCAATTTACTTAGATAATGACAAAAACCAGAGAGGGAGAGAAACAAAGAGAAAGACTGTGCTATGGTGTATCAGATATACATAGACTTCTTCCCATCATAGTACGAGCAAGTCAACCTAAGTTTCATGGTGAAGATAACCTGAAGTGCTGTTGGGGAGCAATCACTTATGCGTAAAAATTGTAATTTTTTATTATTGTAAACATTTGTGTCATTTTATTGTGGGGGAGATATATTCTAGAATCTAGACTCACCCGTTTATATAATAAGTGAAAGCGAAGACGAAAGCAGAATAAATCTTCCGAACTAAAAAAATACGAAGCGATTTGTAATAAAAATAGTGACTTTTTTAGTGTTTATAAATTATCAAATAGACTTTAATAGTTAAATGCATTTTTTTAATGTTCGATTTCTACTTTATAAGCATACCGAACATGTATCGCTTAAACAAATGAGAATCCGATTTATAAAATAAAATGTGTAGTCTTTAAGAGTGAAGAAAGAAAAAAGGCATGGAAAGAGGAAGTTCATAAAAAGTGTATTGCATAGCTAGCTTTGAATACAATTCAGAGGCGTATTTCATGTGGAGAAATTGCTTTTGAAGCTAGATTTACATCATCTATAACATATTTATGATGATAGAAATGATCAAGAATGTTTAGAAGAATAATCATTAAGGTGTGTGAGCATTCGGTAAACTACCTTACCTCGAAACAAAGACGTAATAACTTGAAGCAACAAAGAAGTTATATATTTAATTGTTAAAAGATTTCAATTTTCAGTGTATTAATATTAATTGCTTGTATTTACTATGTATATACATATTGCTATTCTATGTATGTATAAAGTACAATTTTTGTGCTTTCCTATATTTCTCCAAGAAAAGTTGCAATTATAAAAATTTCTTATTCCTTATTAAAAGGGTAATATGTGCCTGTTTTATTGAAAACATTATCTTCCATTCATGGTAAACGTGTACTGATTTTCTGTTTATGTCACAAATTAAGAAAATTCATCTTGTAATAAATGGTTAGAATATTTGCAATTATTGACACAATTTAGATAATTTAAAAGTTAGAATTGATCGAGTTACTTCGTCTTTGCAACAAGGTTCTCGGTATACTATTCTACTGCCACGTTCTAAAACTAGAAAAAACTTTATACTCTCTCTCCATTTTATACTTTTATACGTGATTGCACTTATTTCAACTTGTTTATAATGTGCAATAATATAGAATCCATTATAGAATTTTGTTCATAAACATGACCTAACATATGATAGTATTATGTATGACTATTATAGAATGGAGAGAGAATTTTTAGTCAAATTCAAACAGGGAAAGAGCATGTTTATCAGCCTTACTTACTTAAATTATGATCTAAATTATTATACTAAAATTATAAATATAATTTATGTACATACAATTACCTGCATTAGTATTTAGACATTGTGATATTTAAACAACTATTTCTGAATATACTCATTTACAATTAGATTATAGAAATAATTGTTATTCATCATAACAAAGCATTTATTATTATTAACAAAACTGAATAATTTATTTATTTAATATGGTTATCTTCGTGCATAATAGAATAAATTCAGTTGTAAATTCTTATTTCATAAAAATATATTGATACCTAATACATTTTACATTTTATTTATTTTTATTATGGTCATTCGATTAGAGTATATAGCCAGGTGTAAATATAATTTAATATAAAATATTAAAATAATTGAAATAATTTCAATCTTAATATAAATAACAAAATAGATTGATTTAAAATTACAGAAGCAGCACTAAACTTATTACATAAACTTATATAAAAATAAGTCATAAAAATAACAATATTTTGTTTAATGTGCACCAGTTTGATATATGGCTATTACAAAGCAAAAATATATAAGAAAATTATTCTTTTACTTTGGTTAAGTAAGACTATAGTTACAGACACAGATGTACAATGTTCATAATACTATAATCAAAAACATTGCACACAATTATTTTTAAAAATAACGATCAAACTTACTAAATTCACAAAATCAATGAAAGATTATCAAAAAATGTTGAAAAGTTCCAACATTCATTACTTCTAACTAAATAGCTTGATTTTTTGCAACATATGCAAAGATAATGCATATATCTCGATAATGTATATCAAGTTCTGAAACAAATAGCAATCATTGATGACCAGCAAAAGAATACAGTAGTTTCTGTCAAAAGTCTATTTCTAAAGAAGGTATATGATGAAATAACATATTTCCTGATAAAAGCAACTCCAATATGATCTGAAATTTCAATTCCTTAATATAAGTAATTGTAACTAAAAATACAGCAGTAATCAGTAATTACTTTAACATTGTGATATCTAAATATTAATGCAGGGTATTGTACATGTATGTAAATTTTTTATTATAGTCCCAAGGAAATGTTGTGAACAAAATATATGAACAAAATATAACTATGTAGTATGTAGCTTATTTCTTCAGTTTGTTAATTATGCAATATCTAGTATAATAATTTACAGTTATTTAAATATAAAATTGTAAGTGTCTGTAATTTCTCATTAATAATTATAATCACTAAATTTTATTTATTTTTTAGTTAATATCTACTGGATATTAATCATTTTTACACAGTATTATGTATACTTACAACAATGTTTTTTATTTCTCTGTTACAGTTTTGCATTCAGTTATTTTATTCCATGATTTAAAATACTTTAAAATATTTTAAAACACAGCATTAAAACTGGTGACAAAAAATTTAGGAACTTATTAAATATTATAAGCCTCTTTAATATTTTATTATGATATTAAAATTGTTTCAGAGATACTACTGTTATTATTTTAAAGAGAATTCTTTAATTCAATTTTTAGTAAAAGTGTTTTCTACCTGTATGTAAATAAAGGGAAGGACCACAAAATAGTATTAAGCAGTGAATTCTTTATTAAAAATTGATATTACTTTTTATATTTATTGCAAAAATCAATTAAAGATTAAAGATAACAAATACCAAATTTAAAATGAAAATGTGATTTTTAAATTACATTAATAGAATTTCTCAATCATTTATGTGTCATTTCGACAAATATGAATATGTGGTGTCTCTGAAACTTTTCAAATATCACTATGAAATAAATTTAATGATATATCGAAGTCGCTGTAACTCATATTAGTTTCTATTAAATTTTAAGAAATTCGAATTTACAAGATTGATACAATTAATCAGATATCTTGGCAATTTAAATACATTCACTACTGTTTACATGATATTGATTTTATTCAGATGTTTATTGGTGTTAAAAACAAAATAAAGTATATGCAAAGGTCTTCATAGATGTCTCAAATTAGAGAAGATGGTTTGTGAAAGTTTGTTAATAATCAAATGTGCGATATTCAATTGACTGGTCGATTGCCATTATATTATTCAACTATATCTTGTGCATGAGAATCTCCTGATTGCCTAATGAATCATAAGGTGTGAGGTAATTTCCTTAAAACAAATATCAAATGCAATGCACAAACATTTTTAATGAAATCTATATATTCAAATACTTTTTAAGAGAATTTGTCTGATCATTTTGTGGACTATCATTTAATGAAAGAATAGAATATTTGTGCTAAAATTCATAATCATATTCCTTATGTTTTTCAAAAGAATAATGTTTGTTAATCTATATAATGGAGTACTGATCTCTTCCTCCATATTATGTTTTCTTATTATTTCTGATAGATGTTAACATAGGTTTAGCACATAAAGTTACATATATGGCATTTTAACTTAATGAATTAGAACTATATACAATTTAATTCTATTGCTATTGCACTACTCTTCTAAATGATTTATGAAGAAGTGCTAATATTACATAAAGTTTCTATTTTTTAAATAAGAGAAATTAATCATCATTTAATACCATATTTAAATCTATTACTTTATCTAAGATGTCCCAAGTTTAAACAGCCAAGCTTTGTCAGTATGCTCTATGAATAAAAATAAAATAAAATGTTATATCTATAAATATGCATTAACAAATATTTTACAAGATAATTATAGTAAAAATGTAATACTTAAAAGCAATTACTATTTTGCAATGAAATCTGATTTTTCTAGTCAGGAATATTATTTGAAATTGTCGAATAACTAACGAACCCTCTATTGGTTATGTATAACTAACCAACTCGCTATTGCTTATAACTTCTAACCTTTTAGTTTTGGAAATATGTTCGTATAATTTTTTTTCTCATTACTATTAATGAAGTAAACATATTAAAGAAATATAGTGATGAAATTTAATGATTTAATCTTGAGACACCTTGTTTGGTATTATTATATCATTATATTGATATAATCATATAATATATCATAAACTTAAATATTATCATCTCTTTGTAAGTTTATTATATTTCAATAATTTGTTCATTAGTGTAGTAAGTTTTGTATTCCACAATATGATTCAGAAAATTCTCAATTTACATTTTATTTAAAATTGTAATAATATTAGGCTAGTTCATATCAATTGATGAATTGTCTGTAAATGTCTTAAATAACATAAAGCATTTGTTGGTATTTATATCAAAATTATTCCATGTATTAAATAGTTCAAGTAGTTTAAATTAGTTTGTTCGTTAAACATATTCAGCTCGTAACTGATGCATATTAAGACTGTTCATTAATATCATGATTGGTTTCCATAATTAAAATTCGCAAACAGTTCACATTTCAAGTATTTTTCATATTAAGAAGCACAACAAAAATTACTGATTTTGAATTATTTCTTATATGTTGTAAATGTAATAACAGCAGGCAAGAATATCACTTCTTCCAGATGATTATTCTTGAGCTGATTATGTTTGACTATATCGAAATCTCAAAAAATATATGTACATTATTTCATAAAGTTTCTCATATATATAGAAAATAATATGATCTCATTTTTTTAAATGATAATGATAGATTTTAATGAACAGCTATATTTAATTCCTGCATAAAAAACTATAATAAAATATGTTTCAGTTATATTCATTGTCTTGCTATGTTAAGTTCACATTTTGGCGCTACAATGTTAACAAACTATCCAATAAAATACAAGAAACAAGGGGCAAGTTTCTCGATGAATAGTTACTCAGGAATAAAGTTATAACATAATACGGTTGCGATGTTGAATATTAATATTTAACGAATAATTTTTTGTAAATATGAATACAAATATATAGTGATAAATATACATAATAATAGTATGAGTATGTGTAGAAATTGTGTGAGGAGTTGTGCAAAAAGTGCCATGATTTTGGATCAAGTATTATTTCTTTAAAAGAGTAAACAAATAAGTCACTATAGGATGAGAAACATAGAAAATTCTGCATGTTGATGAATATTAAAACAATGGTTATTATTAAGGGCATAAGGTTTTTGTTTTAAATTTATTACAGTTATTTCCTTTTTTACTGGCATCTGTTTAACCAAACATCTATAGAATATTACTTTGTATAATCTTATGAGATTGTTCGAATAAAAAATAATAAACTTGACAAAGTGAGTGAATGAAGATGTGTATGTGTGAGGAAAAGAAGAAGAGAAAGAGTAGGAAATGAAGAGCAAAACGCGAATCATTGTGTGAGAGTTTACTTCCAATTATAGTAGAACTTCGATATTTTCCTGCATTAAGCACTCTTAAGAGTAGGGTAGCAAAAGACATGTCCTTTCCCTGCAGTTTGTCTATTTTGTTCCTTTTGAAAACTATTCTGTGACATTAATCTTGCCTGCAATAGATGTATGAACAAAAGTTCCCAATTGGGAATTTATTTACTAGAAAAATGTCGAAGTTCTATTCTATAAAGAATTGACCAAAAATTGGCATTAAAATAATAGTGCGACATATGTTAATGATTGCGAGTGTTAGAAGGGAGCCATCAATCGAGCAAATGGAAATCATAAATGTTCATGATATAAGAAAAAAGTATCACTGCAAAATATGACTGCAATCGTATAAATTATCAATTACACCTTTAATGATCGTGCGTTACATACATCATCGATTATGTGTTCGAACATAATTTATTACATGTACCTATGCATAAATACACGTGGTTTTTGTTCACTTCTACACGAACATCCGTTTTTTTTTCAATGATAGAAGTTATTTTTAAATCTTCGAAACTTAGCTGCGCTGCTCCCACATATAAGTATAACTGTACGATCTGATATATCAGTAAGAATACAGAAATATAAATACGCGATTGAATTTGGTAAGATTTATTCTCAAAGTACCTTCAAACTGTAGTTATTAGAAAGTGATGAGTTTATGTTTTTATTTAGTTTTATCTTCGCATGTTATTGTGCATTAAGTATTATATTAAATTTTTTGTATTTATTTTCTAAATGAAGATTATTATCATCATAATAATATTAATATTATTATCATGATAAAAATGTATTAATTTTAATTAGCATAAATTGTGTCAAGATTTATAATCTAAGTTTGATTTGAGAAAAAGTACATAATAATAGTATGAGTATGTGTAGAAATTGTGTGAGGAGTTGTGCAAAAAGTGCCATGATTTTGGATCAAGTATTATTTCTTTAAAAGAGTAAACAAATAAGTCACTATAGGATGAGAAACATAGAAAATTCTGCATGTTGATGAATATTAAAACAATGGTTATTATTAAGGGCATAAGGTTTTTGTTTTAAATTTATTACAGTTATTTCCTTTTTTACTGGCATCTGTTTAACCAAACATCTATAGAATATTACTTTGTATAATCTTATGAGATTGTTCGAATAAAAAATAATAAACTTGACAAAGTGAGTGAATGAAGATGTGTATGTGTGAGGAAAAGAAGAAGAGAAAGAGTAGGAAATGAAGAGCAAAACGCGAATCATTGTGTGAGAGTTTACTTCCAATTATAGTAGAACTTCGATATTTTCCTGCATTAAGCACTCTTAAGAGTAGGGTAGCAAAAGACATGTCCTTTCCCTGCAGTTTGTCTATTTTGTTCCTTTTGAAAACTATTCTGTGACATTAATCTTGCCTGCAATAGATGTATGAACAAAAGTTCCCAATTGGGAATTTATTTACTAGAAAAATGTCGAAGTTCTATTCTATAAAGAATTGACCAAAAATTGGCATTAAAATAATAGTGCGACATATGTTAATGATTGCGAGTGTTAGAAGGGAGCCATCAATCGAGCAAATGGAAATCATAAATGTTCATGATATAAGAAAAAAGTATCACTGCAAAATATGACTGCAATCGTATAAATTATCAATTACACCTTTAATGATCGTGCGTTACATACATCATCGATTATGTGTTCGAACATAATTTATTACATGTACCTATGCATAAATACACGTGGTTTTTGTTCACTTCTACACGAACATCCGTTTTTTTTTCAATGATAGAAGTTATTTTTAAATCTTCGAAACTTAGCTGCGCTGCTCCCACATATAAGTATAACTGTACGATCTGATATATCAGTAAGAATACAGAAATATAAATACGCGATTGAATTTGGTAAGATTTATTCTCAAAGTACCTTCAAACTGTAGTTATTAGAAAGTGATGAGTTTATGTTTTTATTTAGTTTTATCTTCGCATGTTATTGTGCATTAAGTATTATATTAAATTTTTTGTATTTATTTTCTAAATGAAGATTATTATCATCATAATAATATTAATATTATTATCATGATAAAAATGTATTAATTTTAATTAGCATAAATTGTGTCAAGATTTATAATCTAAGTTTGATTTGAGAAAAAGTTATGTAGAATAATATTTAATAATTAAATATAATGCATGAAATTTATTAACAAAATATTACTGGGTATAATTAATGAATTGCAACACAAAGATGAAACTTCTCAAATTACAAAATTCTCACGTCTTTTCCTCTCAAACTCTCACAAAGCAATGCCCTCTCAGCTTCTTCTCAAAACATTCAATCGCACCAAAAAAGACAATCTTCTAGCAACCTTCATTACATGCAAACTTCAATCATACCATACGCAAGCTTCATTCATATTATGCACCCATGTCAAACACACACATACCATACAATTACAAAGTACACACACACCACAGTTAAAAAGTAAAGAATTAAATGGTCCAAGAATACATACTTTTTTCTAAAGGATCTAGCCGAATAAGGTAGTTAAATGTGCCCTAGAGTCAAATGAAACACCTAATACATCAGTGGATAGCATATCTAAAAAAAAAGCCTTTCACACCAAGTTAGAACCCTCTATCTCATCTGTGAGGATAGTAAAATTGAAAAATCGGTTTTCGGCCTATTTTTCCTATTTAATTTCGTATACAAATTCTTGCTTTTAGAATTTTATTCGATTCTCCTTAATCTCATTAAAATGTGAAGTAGTATTATTACATCCTATAAAATTGATGGATTTTCTGTTCTGATCGTGTTACTCTATACATTTTTAAATGTATTCTTTCTGAAATCCGCTACCTTCCTAGAATTATCATATCAGTAAATTCTCTTTTTGCTTTTTCACGACATTGTGTGAAGTAAGTATTGTAATAGAAATCCAATCCATACAGTAACATTCTAAATCTATTTTTATCTTAATAATCGGAGTGGTCAGCATGAACAGAGCAAAGTAAAGCATAAACATTATCATGTTGTATAGTGGTCTCACGTCTGTTGCTGCTCCTGAAACTGCAACCGTATTAAAGGAATGTAAAGTCAGCATCTTGGAATACTTTTTCCAACCGTAAGTAAATACCCCCATCGTGTCTTGAAAGATTACAGTCAGTCAAAAAGTCGTGAGCCGTACGATTCTTTTGTCCAAGGGATATTCAGTGTCATAAAGTAGATACACAAGTAGGCTTTCGCGAGTGAATTCAGTGTTCCTCGAAAAGACTCAGTCTCTTCGAAAAATAAGACCTCTTTTTTCTGCAAATAATTTATACTCTTTGTAATTTTGAGACTTTTGCACTGCTTAAAAGAAATATAGTATAGAAAAATTTTAGGCAGAAATTTGTCAAATTTGACTATCGGTAACTGTTTGAAAAATCATCGTAAAATTATGCTCTTTTTTTTAATTTAAGCTAGAAATCTCTACTTTAAGATATTGTAGTGGGATTTTAGATTTGATGCATCATCCCTATCACTATAACACCATAAATGTGAGGGCGTATTTGCCATATAGGAAATTACAAACTTTGACGAAATGCATGGACTTGCAACATTTTTTTTTCTGAGATACTGTTTGCAGAAGCGTAAAGTATGGACCTCTCATCTTCAATTTCCAGTAAGTGATTGCTGCCATTTTTTTTCGCAAAGAGACAGCACTTTAAAGATAAAACAAAGATAAAATTGACAAAGATAAAATGTTTTCGTTCATTTATTATACATCACTGATGAATAGTTTTCATAATGGTATGTAATTTGTTAAGTTATTTTTCAATCGTCCGACTACCATGTTCTTTGACATATTTAACTTCAGTCTCTCAATTAATTTACGAAGTATTAGTTTTATTCAGTATTACTTCACTATCCGTTTATTAAACTTTTCTGTATTATATAACTTACGACAATGCGATTATCATAATATGACGTCTTACATATTTCAAATTTTATAAAAAGTACTATATAAAATCTGATACTTTTTAATAATGTTTTTATATCGTGATCAGTTCAATAATTCCAAATAAAATAATTTTAAGAAAAAAAATACACCGACGTCGAAATGCACTAAAAAGTATAAAATAATTTCTATTTCATTCAATCATACAATTACGTCACAGATATGAATGAAACCTATTTACTCGTTAGGTAGTGTATTAAATACATTTCAACCTTTTCGGAGGCGGCGCAAAATTAAAAGATTTTCTTGAACATGTCAACCTTTGGACAGCCGAACATAGGCAAAGCTTGTATAGCTATTTTTTTTTCTATATATATAACTCGACAGCACGCCGCGAAGTAGGTGTTAGTGCGTATAGAATGGAACTATGGTCTATCTAGATTCATAGAGTATGCGACGGAAAGACTCGATCGCCGCATATTCTATAAAGATAGAGCCGATCTGCCGCAAATTTGGTAATTCCCGCGTCGTGGGCTCCGTTTATAGGTTCTTAGATCCATGGCTTCCACATGCGAACAAAGTCGATTCAATTTCATTTATATCAGAAA